CAGGACTCAGGTTGTAGAACGAGGACAGGTGCCCAGCCCAGAAGGCGGGTCGATTATAACTCACTAGTCACTTTACCTGCTGCTATTATTACTATTGTTTATTAATACATCTGTAAATACCTCTGTACATGTAAAGTGCAATTATAGCTCCAAAGATTTATTCATTTTATCAATCCATTACTTATTATTTTAGCTGTATTATCTATAATCTTATACTGTTTTGGTGTGGACTTTTCAGTGTTACCTAATGTGTGTGTGTGTGTGTGTCTTTAAACCCTATGCTCCTCTCCCCTTGTTGTTGGTCCATTGTGCTACCGTCACTGTTTCGTCCTGGTTCAAGTTTTAACTTCTGTATCCTGGATTTTGTTATTTTTGAGTTCATGTTTATTAAATCTTATATCCTGCCTTTTGATCCTCCCTCCTTCAAAACATGACATAAATAATACACCTTGTTGGATGTGTGTGTAATCTGAGTCTCATTTCCTTCTTTTGTCTCCGCTGTAATGTGCAACGATGACAATCTCCCCACTGTAGTTTATATAAAGGACTGATCTTATTTGTGAACGCAGGTGTGAAAGCATCTCAAACGGCAAGTGGATAAACGTATACAAATCTGAATATTACATAACTTCAAATCTCTAGAGTCTTAGATCCAGGTTCTCGCTCATTATCCACATCTGGTAAGACGTTCTGGTTGAATATGCGACGAGAACAGTTGCATTCAGACAGAAGACAAACGGGCGTACGTTTAAGGGGCCTGCAGATACGTACCTGAGGCAAAATCTAATGTCAGGAGAAGGGGATGAGGTTGGGAGAGGAGTGGAAAGGGGCTGATTAAAAGCTACTTGTAGAGAGTTTAGCTAAATACATGATGTTCCTGCAAAGCGAGGAAGTGCGGCGAGGACGAGAGACTTTCCCGTCTTTTCTCTGCAAACTCTGTACATGAGGTTCCTAGATTTGTCCTTTTCAGATTCTTTTAAGAACATGCATTAGAGAAATTAATAACCACCACAGTCTATTTCCCAGACTGTACGGGACCGATGGTGCGGCAGGAAACACACAAAACATTAGAAGAAGAAGAAGAAGACGACGAAGGAGCGGACGAAGACGAAGAAGATGATGAAGATGAAGAAGAAGAAGAAGAAGAAGGAGAAGACGAAGAGGTAGAAGATGATGAAGATGAAGGAGAAGGAGAAGGAGAAGACGACGAAGAAGAAGACGGAGAAGGCGAAGAAGAAGAAGGAGCAGACGAAGACGAAGAAGAAGATGATGAAGATGAATAAGAAGAAGAAAACAAAGAGGAAGAGGAAGAAGATGATGGAGAAGGAGAAGACGAAGACGAAGAAGAAGAAGATGATGAAGATGAAGATGAAGAAGACGGAGAAGGCGAAGACGAAGACGAAGAAGAGGATGAAGATGAAGATGAAGAAAAAGAAGAAAAAGAAGGAGAAGACGAAGACGAAGAAGATGATGAAGATGATGAAGATGAAGGAGAAGACGAAGAAGACGACGAAGACGAAGAAGAAGCCAAAACATGTGTCAAAATACCAATAAATGAGTCCAAAACCAATATTAAGTATTTTTGACGTACTTAATCTCAAATGTTTGAACACACCTGTTTTGCCACACCATTATTTTATTATGTTCATTTATTCTATTTATTTATTGTTTATTTGGTTGGGACAGTACATGTTCATGAACACATCACTCCGGATTGTAGCTTGGGCTAATTTCCATCTGTTGTCCCATATTCTCACTCACAAACTCACACTCATTCACCCTGAACTATTGCACATGTTTTTAGTGGTAGGGGAAATCGGAGCACCCGGAGGAAACCTACGCAGATACAGGGAGAACATGTGAACTCCACTAAGAAAGTCCATGTTCTGACCGGGGTTTGAACCCAGAAGCTTCTTGCTGAGAAGCGAGAGTGCCACCGTACCGAGTGGGTAGCAAAATTATTACTATTCTTAATTCTGCTCATATTCCCTGCGGCAAAAGTACAAAATACACCTCTGTAAATACCTCTGAACCAAGTGATATTATAGATCCAGAGATTTATCATCTTGTTGTTTTATTATCTATGATCTTAAATATTAGACTGTTTGATGTGTGTGTAATCTGAGTCTTATTTCCTTCTTTTTGTTCTGCTGTAATGTGCAACGATGACACTGAAATGTCCTCTCTGTGGGACGGACAAAGGAATATCTTCTCTTATTTGAAAAGAACATATTCTTTGTTCATGAATAGAACCAGAAACCAAAATTCCAGTAAGACCCGGAACATGCTTTTGTTTAACTTAGCCTTTAAAGGTGGCGCCTTTGCACACCATGAATACTTTGACTTTTTGCTGTAGAAACCGTGTCGAGGCAGTTGACAAAAGTAGATTAAGATGAAGAGATTAGGAGATCGTTTATTCGTCCCACGGTGGGGAAATTTCAGAAGAAGAAGACGACGAAAACGAAGAAGAAGAAGACAAAGACAAAGATGACGAAGAAGACGAAGAAGAAGACGACAAAGAAGAAGACTAAGAAGAAGACGACAAAGAAGAAGACGACAAAGAAGAAGACGACAAAGAAGAAGACGACAAAGAAGACGACGACGACAAAGACAAAGAAGAAGACAAAGAAGAAGATGATGACGAAGAAGAAGACGACAAAGAAGAAGACGAAGAAGAAGAAGACGAAGAAGAAGAAGAAGACGACGACAAAGAAAAGCCTAATAATCGGAGAATTACGTCACGATTTCCAAATACAATCATCCAATACTTTTGAGAGTTTTTAGGACCCTTTAGGAACCCTGTGTAGAGATTGTGTTTCCCATAGAGCAGAGCATCCATCCATCTTCTTCCCCTTAATCCATTTCTGGGTCGGGGGGTGGCATTCAGAGATCTCACAGCACCAGCCCTTGATCCTCCTGCAGGTGCCGAGTCCACAGGAGCCTTGGTCTTTCGGCGGGGGCATCAGGCAAAGTGGGGCTAAGTGTCTTGCCCAAGTACACAATCAATCAATCAACTTTATTTGTATGGCGCCTTTCCAACACAAGGCCACTCAAAGCGCCTCACAACCCACATAATATCACACAAATCAGAGACATCAATAAATACATTAAAAACAGAATAAAATCACAAGTAATGGAAAAAAAAAAAAAAAAAAAAAAAAAAACTTAAAATATTAAAAGCACACACGGGATTAAAATAATAAATAACCACAATGCATTAAAAAAAAAGAGTATGTATCAATAAAATCCTTCAGCCGTATGCACAGCTAAAAAGAACAGTTTTTAGCCCTGATTTAAAAATTGCCAGAGTAGATGCTAGCCTCACATCTTCAGGAAGATTGTTCCAGATTTTAGCTCCATAAATCTCAAACGCTGCCTCCCCATGTTCTGACTCTTGGAACCAGTAAGAGGCTACCTCCTGTGCTCCTCAGAGTCCGGGCCGGTTCATATGGGACTAACAAGTCGCTTAAGTACCCTGGTGCGAGGCCATGGAGAGACTTGTACACAAGCAGTGCTGCTTTGAAGTCTATTCTCTGAGCCACAGGAAGCCAGTGCAGAGACCTGAGAACTGGACTAATGTGGTCATATTTCCTGGTCCTGGTCAGGACTCGAGCTGCAGCATTTTGGACATACTGCAGTTGTTTTACAGCCTGTTTGGAGAGACCTGTGAGCAGGCCATTGCAGTAGTCTAACCTACTGGAGACAAATGCATGGATGAGAATCTCCAGATCTGATTTAGACACTATGTTTCTAATTTTGGCAATGTTTTTCAGATGGTAAAATGCTGCTGATGTTACTGATTTGATATGACTGTTAAAATTTAAGTCTGAGTCCATTATAACTCCTAGGTTTCTGACCTTGCCTACAGGTTCCAGGGAGAAAGACTGGAGGTGACGAATAACGCTCTCTTTTTGTTTCTGAGGACCAAAGACAATCAATTCTGTTTTGTCTGCGTGACACACAATGACAGCAGACATCAGTGGGAGTCGGCGGAGAAGCTCTGATGGGCTCGAACCCACAACCTTCAGGCTCAAAGGCCAATGCTCTACCAACTGAGCTACTGCATTTTTACTGTTGTGTCTTTTGTGGCAGCATAAATTAAATAATGCAAACATAATACCTTTTGTCACGGTTTTAAAAGGGGTGAGGCGGTGTAAGTCTTTCGGTCAGGCATTATTTAGCACTGAAATTCTAACACATTTTTATTTCTTATAGTAAAACGTATATACAATCTAATGTACATAATGGCCGAAGAAATGTAACTACTACTACTACTACATAAAAATATATTGAACAATTCCGAATGCAATGTGTGTCGCTTCATTGAAACTAAAGAAGGCGGCACTTTTTTTCCATAAAGAGCTTAAGGCTGTTCTAAAGCCGTCACTTCACCTGCGAGCACTTTTAATACTGGGCTCATTGTGTTCTTATCGGTACAAAAACAACCAAGACTATAATATACAGAGGCTTGGGTCAGGAGTATCGCAATAAATTATAAAAAACGTCATCGTTCCCATTACACAACACTGCCCAGGGATCAAAACTGCTTCCACATCAACAATAGACCAATAATCCAAACTGCTAATAGCTTTGTGGAATAACGGTGAATAACTACCATTACCCAGGATGCTTTACTTTCAGATAACATATCTCTACAATATCAATGATGGATGATTCTTTCTTTTCCATTCCACTGCCCGAGCTGTCACGGCATGTAGGCAGCTGTATAATTCAGTTTGGCCTGTTAGCAGCTTAAAGTCCAACTCTGGAGTCATTTGGAAAAAAAAGATGGAGGATTTGCGACGCCATAAACAAGAAATATATTTGGTCTGCGGCTCCAAAATGCTGAATCACTTCCGCGTCCACAGCTATTTCACACCAGATTCATAAATTGAATTTCATATTAACATAATTAAAAGGGGGAGTTTGTCTTATCACCTGACATGGCAGAGCTCGGGGGCAGTATTTATGCAGTTGTTGGGAGTGCGGTGTGGACTTACATTGGGGCAGGCGTCCTCTCCTTGTTGTCCCACCAGGATGTAAAGCAGGTCCCCTTTCTTCAAGAGAAAGTCTCCCGTGAGGTAGACGCCGAGGGAGCGGCTCATGGCCAGGACGCTGCGCCCTCCAGCTGCACCGTACGCTGTGATTCTGCACGCAAACAGCAAACACGAAGACAAACAAGAGAAGATCCATCTCGTTAGCATGCTAATTATCGTAACGACATGGAGAAGAGGGCACTTGATGGTTCTTTGAGCGCTCAAGTGCTGTTGAGTTGGTGTAAGAAGGAAATAAGGCAGAGACTGAGAGAAGGACTGGGATAAAACGCGGCCTAAGGAGGAAATATTCAGTTTGTTATGAATATTATACATTATAGAGCTAATGCTAATGCTAAGAACTGCATCTGTAAATGAATGGTTACTTTGATGACTACTGGATACAATCTCTTTTATCCAAACAGCCTCCATGCTGCTGTTGTGGCTCCATGTCTTTGTCCCAATGAATGCACTTCTGCAAAAATCTGATTAGGATGCGTTTCCCAAAGCCCTAAAGTGGGTTTTTGACAAAGACTTGGTTAAATGCGGTCCCCTCTTTTTCCCATAATTGTATCTTCTTCTGACTATACATCAAAAAAGAGCAATGGAGCTCATAAAGATAAAGGCCAAGGTGCTGTATATATTCTGCTACTTTGGCACCTAAAAGATTTTTGAAGACATTTTGTGCTGTCTGAGTGAGGATAGAATATATACAAATCTGTCAGTGAAAATCAATGACATACTTTACATTAATTCATTTTCATCTTTGGGAATAGACACAAAAACACACAAACATATAGCCTAAAAGCAGAGTCAATGGGTCAAATCCACGAGTACCATTTGCACACAATAAAAAACTTTAGTGCCAGTGTGATACATATTCAGAGGGCCATGGAGCCAAGTGGGTCCATATATATATATACGTACATTTTCTCTTTCGTATTTGGATTCGGTATTGGAGACAGGTGTAGCGTGTGAATCATATATAGCAGTCATTACTGGAGCCGGGGCCCGCCGTGCAGCTTTGGGATAGTGAGATGTCTCTGTTTGCTGGGGGAAGATGGATGTGCACACTGGAGAGCGAGTGGGCGAGAGGAAGAGAAAATGATGCAGAAATACTTTGGATCCTGATGCCTGACAAATACAGGTTAAGTGAAGAGAGTTCTGCTTGTGAGTATGCGGTGTATTTAGCTCAGGGGAGATTTAAGCAACTCTGAAGACGCCATGTTTATTAGTTATTGTATGATAGATTTTACAAGTTAGCTATTAGCAAGTTTTGGGAAAGGGGTGGGACATTACACAACAACAGTATGTCCTTTTTGTGATCTGCAGTTTTTTGGCCCTGTGAAGACGTTTTCAGTAGAGCTGTGACTTTAGATCAATGTTGGGATTTAATTATTTAAAAATCCATAAAGAATGAAACAGATAAAAACACACAACAGGTATTTTAACTGTGCGATTGAAGTTACTGGGCAATAAATAAGTAATTATGTAATCTATCTTTGCACCAATATGAAGCCATTCACTCCACACTCTTGTTACTGTGGTGGAGGAAACTGCATCACCTGGAGGAAACCTACACAGACACAGGTTGAACATCCACACCCCACAAGGAGAAGCGGAATCTGACCCTGGACCTTTTTACCGTGAAGCACAAGCACTAATCAATGCACCAGTGTGTCTTCCTGCCTTCCTCTTTAATAACAATTATAATTAAATCAATGGTCGAGACCTTTTGTACAAATAAAAGGATAAAAGATAGAACAAAGACCGCAGCAGGGGATTTCTTCAGGTGCAACCAGTTTTATTCAATTGTACTGCGTTAATTATGGTAATCACTCACACACGCTATCCTATTCCCAGATGTGTGTTTACCACTGTGCGGGTCCATGTTCTGTGAAATGTTGAAGAAATTAATTAGTAATTTCAAAAGAGCTTCAATCAAAGCCATTAGTCCTGAGTCAACACAAGTAAAGAGCTGCATGTTCTCTGCACACTTTCAGGCCTGGAGGGAAAGTTTAGAATGGCTCAGCATAGGGTTAGTTTTAGAGAATTAATGGCTCCAAGAGTTTTGTATCGATATTTAATTGTAAAGAGAATTAAATGTTCTATTTTTAACTCTTGCATCTTTGTCTTACTTCTGCATCAACTTTGAACACGTCCGTCAAAGGGTATTTTTGACAACAGTGGCTTTAGAGCATCACAAAGCCCATAAAACAATATATGCAGCCTCATGTGTGCATTTATGTACAGTATGAAATATTCCGAAAGACAGTTGGTACCTGTATGTTCCACTTTCAGGGACGTGCCACATCTGGATGCCTTTGAAGGGCCCTCGGGTGCCCACTGACATGTTGACGTTGCTGTTCCGGTAGGAGTTGGTGCACTGGGAAGGGGTGGGGCCTTCGGGACCCTTGGCGCCACAGGTGTGAAAAATCCATTTCTTAGCTGCATGTGAAAGAGGGGGAAAGTACATTTAGAACTTCACACATGTCGGGGAGGGGGGGCTCCTGTGGACGGTGAGATGATGTTTTCTCTTAAAATGAATCAGAAACTCGGAGAACACCACAGCGTAGACAAATTACCTTTTTATTTCAATTTCAATCTCCCCATAGATCTACATAACTAAGACCATTACTGGATTATAATATGCATTTACACATGTAGTCTTAGCCTTGTCCATGTGTGAACTCTGGTCTATGATCATCTCCTACATGTACGTCTGGTCTTACCATGTGTAAACTCTGGTCCATGATCATCTCCTACATGTACGTCTGGTCTTACCATGTGTAAACTCTGGTCCATGATCATCTCCTACATGTACGTCTGGTCTTACCATGTGTAAACTCTGGTCCATGATCATCTCCTACATGTACGTCTGGTCTTACCATGTGTAAACTCTGGTCCATGATCATCTCCTACATGTACGTCTGGTCTTACCATGTGTAAACTCTGGTCCATGATCATCTCCTACATGTACGTCTGGTCTTACCATGTGTAAACTCTGGTCCATGAACATTTCCTACATGTACGTCTGGGTCTGATCCTAGTGGCTGCAGTTTCCTCGGTTGAATCCCCTCTGACCAATCAGGTGGAGGGGGTTCAATCCAAATATCAACAAACTGAAGCCGGAGCAAGAGGAATGTTTAGTAAATGTCATTGCTGCAAAGATGTTGTGGCTCTACTCCCCATGGCTAAAGCTAAGCTACGTAAACTCAGATCCAATCGCTTCAATCTGCAAAAGGAGTTAACCCCTCCCACCTGTTAACGGAGTCAAAGGAGCAAATCCAGACCTTAGTACCAAATGAGCCAGCGGTTTTTTATTCTTCAGAATGAAAAACTATAAGTCATTTTAATTAGTTGTTATTGTTAGACGCAATCGATGAAATCCTCTTCCTTTTCCTCGGCTGGTGATACGGAATATGAAATGATCTAAAATCATTGAAAGTAAAATATGTATGTACATGTACATTCAGTACATACAGTACATACATACAGTACATATGCAAAAGTGTTTCATTGTTGCAAAAAAATAAAAATAAAAGCCTTATTATAATAATGCATTGGTTTTATAAAGCACATCAGGACACTCATATTGTTAAACTAAAATCTCAATCTAAATCGAGAAAACACCATAGCAACGGCCTTCGCAATGAGAATAATACCAACCAGCGCTTCCGGGTTTGAGGCCGAGACAGAGCAAATGTTTTAAAAACCATATTTTTCAATAAAATAGAGCATCATTTTTGCCGGAATCCATTTCAGACCAACATTGACTGATTTTCTATCTTGTAGTTTGGATATCCACGGTTTTCAGACACACCCTGCATAAGGTCTTTACAGCCACTCTCTGCTCATTATCATATCTCCATGGAGACAAGCGGGGGACAAAGAAACAAAGCAATAAGGATGATAGATGTAGATTAACTTATTGTCATGACTAATTCCAGCATTGTCTTTAAGAAGCGCTCAGGTTTCCACACAGTAAAAGTCACAAAGAGCTGCTTGATCTGTGGTTATAATCAAAACCTCTCTAATGTTCTACCTCAGAAACACAGACAGGATCACAGGTGAGCGCCCTTTCTCTTCAGTCACTAACTAATCCCGGGTGCCACTGCTAATTGGAGTTCTTTTCCCTGTAATTATCCCCGAGATTAGTCCCGTCACATGGACTTGGAGGTAGTTAACATGTGAAACCTTCCCAGCTTCGTCTGATTTGTGCCTTTTCTTACATTTGTAGGACATTCTCTCTAAGACATGTGTCATTATCGTCCTCTGTTTTCTTTCCACAACAAATCAGACATGTGACCTGCCTGACCCTCCCGTAATCACTCCGGCTCGGTCTTTTCTGCTGTTGTGTCTTTCATTTCAAATATAAATGAATGTTTTTCAGCGGTAAAAACAGGAGTGACGCAATTCTTAACTTTGCGTCTCTTGTTGTCTCTCTCTCTCAAACTTTCTCACATACAGTACATTTTTCTTTCATGACTGCTGCCTTTCATTTACTGGCCTTGAAAGGATATTCTGTTTGTAGTGTAGCAACGAGGCTATGGTCTATGTTATCCCCTAAATGTTTTAATAATGATCATAATAATACATTGGTTTTTTACAGCGCTTTTCAGGACACTCAAAGTCTCAAATTTCATTATTCTGTCACTCCAAACACGGTGGAGATAAACTGCTATTGTAGCCACAGCTGCCCTGGGGCACACTGACAGAACTGAGGCAACCCGTCTGTGCCATTAGCCCCTCCCACCACCACCAACCATTCACACACACTCCAAACTCATAATGCGGGGGAAGTGTCTTGCCTAAGGACGCAACCACAGTTTGGCACTTTACAGCCACAGCCGCCCCAGCTGCTGTTCCCAAAGGTCTCCCATCACAGCGCTAACCAAGCCCTGCCCTGCACAGCTTCAGAGGTCTGACAGGATCTTACACATGTATAGCCACGTTTTGCTCAAAGTAGCTTGATAAAACTAATATTGAGTTGTCTAATTCACAGTTGGAAAAATAATGATTAAACATTATGATAGTAAATCTAGAAGCAAAGCTATAAGATAAAGAGATACTTTTATTCGTCCCACAGTGGGGAAATTTCAATGTTGCAGCGCACATACAGGACAGCAGTAAGAGACACACAATCATAACACAATATAAGTAGCTGCTGTGTTTCTTAGCTAGCCGTAAATGCTATAAAGTCAATCTTTCGAAATCTCTCTCTCTCTCTCTATACAGTATAGAGAGATCCCATATAGTGCACAGTTATATACCTAAAGGGCAGGGCGGGTAGATAACGTGATATTCAGTGGACATTCAGAAATCGCAATAATGCACATGTTTTTTTTCTATTTTTTATTTTGTGAACATATAGAAAGAGGGATACTATTGATTTCAAAACCTGCACAACCATCATCATCATTGCAAAAATCAACATATCAGACAGACAACACCACAGACACAACACACCACAGACACAGGCCCAAACACTCTCTGACCCTACACCCTCTCCCCTTTGCTCCATGCTGAGGGCATCACTCTCCGTCCTCTATATATCTCAAAAGGTGCAGACAAATACAATTAGACAAACAAGACGGACAACAGTGTGGATATTTACATGTGTGTGTGTGTGTGTGTGTGTGTGTAAAGTATTGCACGTGATTACAGTGTCCAATATGAAAGCGTGAAGATATAAACTCCAGATCAGATCTTAAAGACACAGCTTACACACTGGATTTGTATTTTCAGTAGTATGTATACCTTCTAGTCCATTTCCACGTTTCAATTTTCAATCTGGAGGATCAGAGAGAAAAATTGTGTTTTGATTGTATCTTCAGGAACCTTGGTACAAAAAAATCTAACTACTCTGCCAAACAGTGGCTATTGCACGCTGCTATCTTGTGAAAAAGATTGTAGAAAAAGTTATTTAGGTTGTAATCATGTTCCATTCATGTGGATTTTTCATTTCTGTTGCTGTCATTTTGAAAGATTACACACATTTTCGCAGCGGCAAACTGGGATGGTCTGTGTGTGAGTATTGTGCTTGTCAGTCCGATGGGGGAATTGGTTTGGTTCAACTTTAAGGCAGTGGGTAAGTGCTGCTGCATTTTTTTAAACTGCAAAACATGCTGTGGATTGGTTCTGCAAAAGAATCACACACGCCGAGTCACTGGATTTGTCTTCGCTGAGAGTGAATTCTTGGGTTGCATTTGACGTCAGGGCAGTGGCGCCAATGACAAACATAGGACAGTGACGGCGGTGCAGTCGGCGGTGCAGTCAACCTGAGTCAGGGAGAGTGGGAGAGGCTGCAGTACCAATTTTGGCCACATTTTTACACACTGCTCCATCAATCTCTGCTGAAGGAAACTGAGGATAATAACCTAATACTGTTTTAATACTCCCCCATGTTTCTTTACCCTTCGATCATTACTATACTGAGAAACAAATGATTCTGAAATGCGAAGCTGAAATGACAAACGCGTTGGTAAATGACTGGAGTTGGGAAAATGCTGTGATGGTGACAGATGGACGGTCAAATAAACAGATGGCTTGGAAAACAACTCTTTACAAATATGCTACTTGATAACAGCACTAGTCTGCATATATTTTTGTTTTTATAAGCTCCATCCAAGAAAGATGTTCTAGCGTTTCTCGAGTGCAGACACATGCAACATCCCAGAATGCAGCTCTTGGAACAAAGCCTTAACTTCTTTTTATGTTAATCGTTTCTAAAGTGTCTTTCATAAATAATATGTTTTACTTTGACATTTAACATTTATATTAAGCTAATTGTATCATGGAGGCTTGAAAACAGTGCCTCAGATGGACAAGAAGATGTCGGATTTAAATGATTTTTTGCTGATAAACGGTATAAATGAGTGTCCAATAGTGTTGTGTACATATCCTGGTCATAGTTTTGTAGTTGAAAGCTCATCTTTCTGCCTCAAACCGTCTGTGAGGCGCCATCTGCAGGCGACCTGTGTTACTACATTTGAATTTTGAATCTGGTGCCAACATTAGCGCAGCAGAGGCCGCAGTGGCTCGTTACGTCAGCTGCCCCGCCGCTCGGCCACGCCCCCTAGCGAGTTGGAGAAGGAACAACAGAGAGTATTTTCATCGATTGCCAGTTTTGCGATTAGTCATAGCATTTAGGTAGATTTTTATTAGCATAGCTGTTTGTATTATTGATAATTGTGTAGTGTTAATGGCGTTGTTGTTGAATATTGTAGTTTTAGTCAAGTGTCAATCACAGCCTAGACCCGCCCAACATTCACCCCCCGCCTGTCCCCTTTAGTCCTCCAGGCTACGGCCATTTGGAAGGAGATTTGAACAGGAAATGTGAGTGACGTGAGCTTCGAGGAGCGGGGGTGAGAAGTTCTTTAAACTCTGGTGGTGGTGGAAGCTGCATTGATGATAAGTTAAGTTGTCAATTTCTCAACAACAGATTA